TGCACAAGCTTCCTGCTCTGACCTGAAGCCGGGTTCCTGGGGTCCTGGGGTTCCTAGCCTCCCGAAGGCGGCTGTTTTCCGGTAGGGAGCTGTTCATTCGAATGAAGGCAGGCAAGGCTGGACCACCTCCAGCGGGCGTTGGACTCCCGCAGGGACCCAGTAAGGAGTGAGACAGAGCAGGGGACCCACCACATGACCCGGATCCCAAGGACCGAGGGGCGAGAGGGAGGATGCCAGTGCCAACGCTGGTGGTATTGAGGGACCGGAAAGCAGGGATGTTTTAACCTCGTGTAACATCTGCTCATTTTCTGGAGTGAACGCATTATAACTTTGATAGGAAGATGTTTAAAAATTTAATTCTTATTCAAGAAAAATCAGAAAAGGGGGCCGAGCAGCTCCCCCCCCCCCCCGGTGCACCTGACCCTGGTGCCTCTACTCTGTGCCCCGGCTAACCGTTGGTGCCACGAGGGCCGCCCCCAGCGGGCTCCATTCACGTCTGCAGCTCAGTGATCGCATCAACGTGGGAAATCTGCGTGCATGAAGCCGTTTCTCTGAGTTCTCTCTCCTTCCTCTCCTCATTATTTCCATCTCTCCATTTCCATTTTTTCCCTCAACTTTTAAAAGAAATCCCATGATCCTTCCTTCCATCCCCGTTCCTCTTCTCACACCTGTCCTGCCATGCTGCTTGCTTTGGGCTTCTCACACACAAGAAGAACGTGAGCTTTAAACCTGTGCCTGAATGTTTCACTTAAGATTACGATCTCGAGCCACGTCCATTTACCTAAAAATCCCTCAGGCTCATCCTTCTTTATGCCAGAGGAGGGCTGCACTGCCCCTCTCTGGGAGCAGCCCAGAGCAGTACTGTGTAAATAGCGCTTCATAAGCATGCCTGTGTTCATTGGCATTTGGGCTGTTTGCAAGACTCCACTATTACAAATTGTACTGCTGTCAACGCGGAGATGCATGTTGCTGGATGATGTGATGACTTCAACTCTTTCGAGAAGATACCCAGAAGGGGACTAGCTGGGTCAAATGGAAACTTGGTTTTTTGAGGACTCTCCGTGCTGATTTCCACATTGGTGATACCAGTCTGCACTCTTATCAGCGGTGGAGAAGGGTCCCTTTCTCCCCACCAGTGACTGCCTTGTGGCATTTGTTACTAGTTATCTTCACTTCTCAAAATGACCAGTGATGTTAAGCGTTTTTTCATCCATTTATTTTGTACTTCATCTGAGAAGTGTCTGTTCATTTCAGATGCCTATTTTTGGGTTGGGTCTTTATTCTAGATATTAGTCCTTTTAAGAATACCTGGCTAAAAAATTTCCCTTTCTGTGGGTTGTCTCTTCATTCTGTTGTTGGTTTCTTTTGCTCTGTAAAAGCTTTTCAATGAGATCCCAATTGTTGATTCTTCATAATATTTCCTGTGCAGTCAGCGTTTTGTTCATAAACTCTTTACCCATACAGATGTCTTTAAAATTTTACCCATTTTACCTTCCAACATAGTAAATGTTTAATAGATCTTTGATCCATTTGGGTTTTAGTTTAGTGCATGGTATGGGTCTAGGTTTAATCTGCAGCATGTGGAAAGCCAGTTTTCCCAGAACCATTTATTAAAGATTATCCTCCTTCCAGTGAAGGTGTGTGACCGCTTTGGCAAAGGTGAGGTGGCCAAGTGTGTTTCAGCATCTTCTAATCTGTTCCATTGATCTTTGGGTCTCATTTTTGCCAGTACCATTCTGCTTTTATCACAGTAGCTTTATTGTATAATTTCAGGTCAGCAGTTGCGATGCCCCCTGCCTTGCCATTGTTGCCCAGAATTGTTTTTGCTTTTGTAGGTCTCTTCTGATTCCAAACAAATTTTAGGATTGCTTTCTGTAATTTTATAAGGTATGCTATTGGCATTTTGATCAGAATTGCATTGATCCATGTAATAGTTCTGGAAGTATGGACATTTGCACCATATTGGTTTTGCCTATCCAAGAATGAGGGCTATCTTTCCATTTTCTGATAACCTTTTTTTTTCCATTGTAAAATTCTTTTACTTCTTTTGTTAGATTCCTAAGCACTTCATTTTTTCATGATGCTACTGTGAAAAGTATTGTTTCCCTAATTTCTCTCTCAGTGAGTTTGTCATTTCTACACAGGAAAGTATTGATTTTTGAATGCTGACTTTATTTTGCTGTACTACTGAATTTGGTTATTAAATCTAACAGTCTTTTGGTGGCATTTTTGAGGTCTTCTATGTCACCTGCAAATAATGGTAATTTAACTTATTGTGTTGTCTGGTTTCTCCATTGATTCCAGTTAGTCTTGTTATTCTTCTTTGCATTTATTAGCAGGTGTTAGACTGATTTTTCATAATCCATTGCTATTTTTAATAAGTCACTTGATTGTTAACTGCAAACCTGTCTTCTAGGTCTGATATTCTGTCCTCAGCTTGGTTGGTCCTTCTGTGTATACTTTCAATAGAGTTTTAAATTTCTAGTCTCCTGGCATCTGTTTTCCTCAGGGTGTGCAGTTTGGTGATGTCCCATGCAGGGTGTGTGCCTGCTGTCCCTGGGAGATGGAGGGTCCCTGCGAGCCTGCGGTGGAGTAGGGTGCAGTGCCGATCCTGGTGCTTTGACTCCACAGAAGTTCAAGATGACTGTGAAACTGGGGTCTGAGCGGTTCAGCCTGCAACACTCTGTGTGCCTCCCTGACCATTGCCAGCTCCCGAGGTTGTGCCTCACCCAGTCACTGGGAGCCCCGAGAGGAAGCCAATGGCAGCTCTGAGTCCCAGAGTTGGCCACCGCCTGAAATGGCATCTGGCCAAGCAGCCTTTCCAGTGGACAGTCAGCCTGGAGTCACTTGCCAGCCAGTGTAGTTCACACCACCCACTGCTCCGTTCACTGGTGTGTTTCTCCGTGGAGTCACCCTCCCTCGTGGAGTCTCTGGATCCCAGCCTCCTCTCACAGGCCATGCCCAAGAGTCAGGGAAGAGCAGTTTGCTGCCTTTTTCTGTATTGAGGTCCTGTCCCTTCACATTTCATGTGGGCTCCAGTTCTGCCTTCAAATCCCCTGGGTTCCAGGCATCCACCCCCCCCCTCCTCTGCCCCAAGTTTTACCTTCAGGGTCTGGATTCCAAATCTCAGAGCAGCTGATTTGGTGCTCCACCATCTCCCTGGAAGTTCCTCAGTGTTGTTTGAATTTACATTTCTCTAGTGGCCAGCAATGCGGAACATTTTTTTGTGTATTTATTGTTCATCTGCACTTTATCTGAGAAATGCCCATTTTTGGATTGGGTCCTTATATTTGATGGGTCTAATTTGAGTTCTTTGTATAGTCCATATATTAGTCCTCTGAAGAAAAGCTGGCAAAAAGTTCTCCCCATTCTGGAGGTTGTCTCTTCACTTTGTTGGTGGTCTCCTTTGCTGTTCAACAGCTTTTCAGTTTGATATGATTCATTTGTTAATTCTCTGTAATATTTCTTGTACAACTAGGATTTTGTTCAGAAAGTCTTCACCAACACTTACATCTTCATGAATTCTACCTACTCTGTCTTCCAGCAGATTAAGCATTTCTGTTTTAATATTTTTTTCTGATTCACTTTGAGTTTAGTTTAATGGACAGTGAGAGATATACAGTCTTCAGAATGTGGATAGGATAGCCAGTTTTCCCAGCACTGTTTGTTAAAGAGGCTGTCTTTCCTCCAGTGAAGGTATGTGGGTCTTTTGTCAAAAAAAAGGTAATTGAGTGTGCCTAGAGTTGTTTCTGCATCCTCTATTCTGTTCCATTTATCCACAAGTCTTTTTTTCCCCTAATACCATGCCTTTTTAGCCACTGTAGCTTTATAGTATAATTCAGAGTCCAGGATTGTAATGCCTCCTATCTTTCCGTTATCTGTCTTGCTATTCTAGGTATTTTCAGAGTCCATACAAATTTTAGAATAGGTTTTGCTAAATCTGCAAGGGAAATGCTGCTGGTATTTTTGATTAGGATTACATTAAATCTGTGTACTCATTTTGGAAGTATGGCCATTTTGACTGTATTGGTTCTGCCTGTCCAGGAATAGGAGTATCTTTCCATTCTCCAGTATCCTCTTTTATCTCCTTTTTCAGAGTACAGTAGTTTTCATTTCAGAGGTCTCACTTCTTTGATAAGGTTATTTCCTAAGTATTTCATTTTTCTTAAAGCCACTGTGAGAAGCATTGTTTCCCTAATTTCTCTCTTGGTGAGTTTATTAGTACACAGATCTATCAATTGCTGAGTGTTGACTTTGTATCCTGCTGTACTACTGAGTTTGGTTATTAGTTCTAGGGAGTCTTTTGGTGGCGTTCTTGTGGTTTTCTATGTAGAGGATCATGGCATCATGAAGATTAGAAAAAGCAGCAGCCAAATTATATGCGTTCCTCTTTCTTTTGTCTACTTGCTCTGGCTGTTTCACTTGTCTACCTGTGCAGCCTTCCCGTTCCCTCCTTGGTTAGGCTGAGAGCCAGGCTGGGTGGCAGTGGCTGGAGAGGCACGTGTGAGGAGCTTGCAGGCGCAGTCCTTCTGAGGTACGAGGGCTCTCAGAGCCATAGTGACCATCGTGGTTTGTTCTGTCTCCCACTGGGAAGAACTTGGCCCTGCTCTACCTGCAGGGAGACACAAGAGCCCACATTTATTGTGATTTGTATTTTCATTATTTTCCACATTGTTTCATATGGGGCTCCTTTTAGCCCCCTCCTAAAGTCCCATTCCCAGCAGGCCGTTTGTGGATTTAAGTTCAGTGGTTACTTCCTGTGCCTGTAAACATCTCCTCCATTAGTGAGCTGAGTGGACACAGAGCCATCACCAGCCTTCCAACTGGGGGCAGCAGAGTCCCAGGAGCGACCATGATCCCACCCCGCTGGGCACCCAGGCCGCCGGGGCCAGGTGTTCTCTGCATCTGCACTGCCCATCCTGGCTCTGCGTTGTGCTGCAGGGTGTGGAGTGGTGGATAGCAGGCTCTTCACTGCTTTCTGTGTTTCCCTCTGGCTCCAGGTATTCGAGGAACTGTGGAAAGGAAAGGCGAAGACTGCGGCACAGATTGTGTCAGAGAAGCAGCTGGAACTGATGCAGGACCAAGAGGCCCTGGAGCAGCTCTGCCAGGCCACGATGGAGGGGCACCCTCAAGTGGTGAGTTTCAGAGGCAGGGCTGGGCCCACTACATGTGTGGGAGGGAGGGCCAGCCTGGGGATGCAGCCAGAGGCCCCTCGCAGTCCCTGCTGCAGCCCCAGGCTCTTCCTCCTAAGGGCTGGCCCAGTTTCATCAATAATTGCCTAATTATCTGCATCAGCTTTTAGTTAAGGTCAAAAGAGATAAAATGAGGTAGATGCTGGAGAAACACAACTTCTTTTGGATGAGGAAAATTCCACCCTGGCACTTGTGCCCCGAGGAGGTGGCCTGAAGACTGATTGTAAAACTGGGCACGTCCAGGGCTCCAGCTCCCAGACTGTAACCCCCTCCCAGGGTCCGCCTTTCCAGTCCACGTGGCCAGCTCTGCTTCTCAAGGACCTCGCAGTGATGGGCCACCCGTCTGGCTGCAAGATGAAGGAGACGAGACAAGGGCATGCCTTGGCTCCTTCCTTTTAGGGGTGGGAAGGCAGAAAAGAAAATTATTTGTAAGTGATGGAGAAAATCCTTTAACAGGAGCATGGTGGAAGCCCAAGTCCTGTGTGTCCTCAGTGGAGTACAGGCCAGCAGAGCTGCGAGTGGCAGCCTGCCCTCCCCAAGTCTAATCATCCTGTGGAGAATCTGCAGTGGGGGAGGACATGCTAGCATCTCTGTCAGGGCAGTACCCACCCACTCGTCCGCAAAGGGACACTGAGCGCTCTTCAGAGCTCTTGATAAGGAAAGTGAGCCTGCACAGCCCTGCAGGCTGCATCTTCTGCCTCATCTGCAGCTGTTGCTAGAGACACGCTCCTTCCAGGCCGGTCCTGCTGCTGCCGGGTGGGAGGTCCATGTGGACCATGCTCACAAGAACCCATCACCTCCTGCCTTGTCCCACCAGCGCACACGCTTGGCAAAGGTGTCACTTCAGTGAATGTTTTCTCAGCGCATCTTCCGATGGGGATCAGGGTGCTTGGCAATGTCCCTGGAGAATGAGGCGCCCACACTTACAGGTTCACAGTCCTCAGGTCACAGTGGCCCTCAAAGGAGTGTCCTGGTGCCCATGTACCAGCTGCTTTAGCTGTCACAGTCAGGGAGAGCCATCCTGGTCCTCTTGGTGCTCTTGTAAGAGCTGGAACAGCTGGCAGAGCTGGAATCGGCCTCCCAGGAGCCTGGAACCCTCCTCGCTAGCGAGGGCCCCTCTCCCCTTCATTTTATATCTGCTATTAAGAGAAAACTGATTCAGTTTGCAGTAAACCTAAGTCTTGGGGATTTTTCATTATCGGACTTTTTCTTCTCTTTGTAGGTAACAGACATGAAGACGGGAAACCCCAAAGCTATAAACAAACTGATTGGGTTGGTCCGCAAGGCGACCCTGAACCGAGCAGACCCAGCTGTGATAAAGAACATTCTGGAGAGGCTGTCAGCATGAGGTCCTCCTGGGGGTCCTCCTGCCCAAAGTGGGGACCAGGGCCCATGAAACCTGATGCCCAAGTGCTCTACAGGCTGGTGGCTCTTGGTCCCTGGCCTGAGCACACTTTCTGTGAGTTACATGTCACGTGTTCGGGTCTTCAGAGACCCTTGTTTTTGGGGTGCAACCGCTGCCAACCCTTAGCTTCAGGGACGTCACAGCTGAGACGCTGCAGACACTGTGCCCACTGCCAGCTCTGCACTGCGGTTCCTCCTGCAGATGCTGGCAGCTCTGCCCAAGAGTCGGCGAGTGAGTAACAGTGATCGAGAGGATTGGAATGTGGGTACAGTGCATTTAGACTAAAAATAGGTTAGCAAAGATGAAGACCAAACAGGTTGGTGCCATGGAAACAGTTTGTTTCGGGCTGCGGGGTGAAGGGTGATACACATCTCTGAGCAGAGGGAACACTGCCCATTCCACTTCCCGGGGACCCTGAAAGCACAGGTCAGAGAGTCAATGAATTTTCTGAAGACAACTGTTTTCAAATAAATTTAATGAATAAAATATATACTGAAACACCGCATAAAAATTAACTTACACTTCAAAGATTGTGTAAGATTGACACCCCCACACACAATCAGGGCAAAAAAAAGATATTTTAAAAAGCTGTAACATGAATTTGTTTTGCTTGGAAAGAATAAGATTATAAATGAGTAAATCAAAATTTTGACCTTTAACCATGACTGAGGTGCAGCTGACGGTGTGATGACAAAGGCCTCCCTGCCTCTGCCCGTTTCTGTGACAGTAACACTTCCTCCATCACAGGGCCCCTTTGTTCATTGCACATCCAGTACCTCAAACTCACAATGCTTCCTTTAATCCTTTCATGTCTAGTGTTCAGTTTTGAAATGGCACGTAACAATGGGACATAAAATTTTTCTCTTCAAATTCTTGTTCCTTGGGTTTTTTAAGGTAAAATGAATTTCATGCAAAAATGAAAAATATTGTAACCTTTGGCATAAATGGGTTAAAGACCCGTTTTACAAACGCTTGGTTGTCATCCCCTCCACCTACCTAGTACAGAAGTCCAACCCAGGGCCACCACTGAGCACCATCCCAGCTCTCTGGATTTTGAGGCAGGCTCTGAGTTGCCCTGGTAGGACTCGAACTTACAATCTGGCTCCTTCAGTGCTGGAATTACAGATGTGTTGCATACATGACTACAAAGCTGTTTTTAAAAGTTGCTGTAAACATGGGGACCATGTATTCAGACGCCCCCAATCTAAAATTCATTCCTGGCCCACCAAGAACAAGCAGCAGCATTTTTGTGGGGAGCGACGGTCCTGGTGAAAGCACACAGCCCGCTGGCACCAGCCAGGCAGCTGCTGTTCCGGCCTGCACACAGCGCCCAGGGCTTCCCTGAATGCGGGAGGAGAAAGTGCCCCGTCTGGCAGCCTCAGAAGCAGGGCGAGAGAAGCCACGTGCAGTTCACCTTAGACGAGCACGAGGACTGCTTTCCTTTTAAAGAATTTGTTTAAAAGCCCAGCAAGCCGCGTCCCCCACACTGTGTACTACTGACCTGCTCTGGCAGAGTCCTCGCCTGCCCTGCAAGTCTGCTCAACACAGTGGCAGAGGCAGCCCAAGATGCAACTCTGTCAGGGCCTTCATTTTATAAAGAAAAACAAAACCCAGTGTCCTTTGGTAAACTCTTCACCGGAAGTTTACAGAAAGCACGAAGGATCTTTCCAGACCTTTTCAAACCCAGGGCTAAGCAGACATGCGGTCAGAGCAAGAGTCTGCCAGCCGTCTGTGTCAGGCAGGGCTGTGTGTGGTGCAGCTTCCCCCGAACACCTCCACCTTTCTACACTGGGGCCCACAAGACCGCTTCCTGTCCAGCTCTGCCCCCTGTGCCTTCCGAAATCCTGGAGAAAACACTGTATTACTGTCACTGCTCTGAGGAAATGTGTAGCACATCTGGTTGGAGCCTGGTGGAATAACTGAAAGATAACATTTATATGGCGCCCTGAGAAATTCACCAAGCAGGGCTCCGCTGCACACACCTTGGTAAAACCCAACTTCATTCTTGCATGAGCACGAATTTAGTCCACTGCTATTGGTGCCATTTAGGAGAAATCTCATTAACAGGTATGAGTTGGTGCCATACGGAAGCCACTGCCATCTGTCACAGTCATACACAGGGCCCTGCACACACACACCTGTAGGTGGATGTGTAATGCCGAGACACCACTACAGGTGGGGTACTGGAGAACCCTCCCCGGGCCAGCCCGAACCAGCTCTGCCCCTCAGGCCAACCATGCTCTGCTGCTTAAGGAGGCAGCTGAATGGCTCTGGTAGGAAAGCAGGGCTGTCAACTGAGGCCCTCGGCAGCCGCCTGACAGAGAATTCAAGAAAAGTGTGTCTGATTCATGAAATAAACGTTTTGGGGGTCCCTTTGCAAAAGAGGTTGCTGACTACTAGGATTTCAAATTTTGGTTCAGTGGTCTACAAAGTAGCTTTCTGCATCTGCCCATTAGGCAACAGAGAAATGCACCTCAAGGTATAGATGAAGAACCACGCAGGTCGTTACTACACAAAGTTTCAGCTGAGATCTGGTCCTGTTTCTCAGTAATTACTGTTAATCTCAAGAGCAGCATGAAATGTGTAGTGCCCACCCTCCTTCAGTTTAAGTTGCTTAATTTGGTATATAACTGGGGACCATGATCTGCCATTTTTTTCATTTGCGTTCAGCCACAGTTTCTGGGACTGGACACAGGGCCTAGGGAAGGGAGCCACGTTACCTACCCATCCCCAGGAGCAGCCTTGGGGTGGCCAGCAGGCTTCCCCAGCAGGCTTTACACAAATGTATGCCTGGGCCTTGAGGGGGCAGGCACATGAGTCCCTTAGTCAAGTGGCTGGGCAAGGGCCACTCAGGGTCATTAACACTATATTCTCTGCCTCTGAACATCTTCAGGGCAGAAGAGGGCTTGGTTACAGGGGTCTTTGTCCCAGTAAAACGTCAGCCCAGCGCTAGCAAATGTGAGATGTGCTCAGGAGCTTCAGCATCTTCACCAGGTCTGAGGTGGTACAGTGAACGCAGGCTCCTCAAAAGCCTGAAGTCACTGCAGAGCCCACTGACAGCTGTGCTCTGAGTGCTTCTACCTTACCTGTGAGGGTCCCTGGTCACCCACATCCTGAAAGCCTGCAGCAAAATTCACAGTGCCCTATGGGACGGGGAAGGACACCCTGCTAATGTCACCAGTTTGGGGTTCTGAGAGGAGAGGGCAAAACCAAAAGCTTCCTGCACACAGTCCTCTTCCCTGAACAACCTCCCAGAAAGCTTCATGGAAACCTGTTCACTCGGTTAAAAGCTGCCAGGATAATCTGTCCTCCAAACATCACGGCCTGATAAATGCCTCCATGTAGAAAGGATTTACTGAGGTGAAATTATGCCAAAATCCATTCTTAGTCTTTTTCTGAAGCATTAGGTTTAGGATGGCTATTTAAAAAGAAAGGAGAAACATCAACTCCATCCTCTTAAAACGTGCCCTGGCTGATGGAATGGTGTGCACATAAAGCGGTGTGGCACGTTCTACATCGCTGTTGGGCGGGAAATCAGTCCCAGCAGTTACAGACTGGTAGCTGAAGCATGAAGGGGCTGGGACGGCTCCCTGACTGACTGAATGCGGATGTGGCCTCAGCCACCAGCAGAGCACTGCTCCAGGAGGAGATAACACTACGGGCCAGGGCTGTGGCACCCTGAACCTCACATGGGCCTTGGCAGTGAGTGGAGAAACTGCATGACAGCTGCCCTGTAGTAATGTGCTTCATACAAGTGGTAGGCAGGACAGACATCATTGTATTTACAGAGCTCATAGCTATCAAACTGAACTGCCCTTAAGTGAGAGCCAGGGTACAGGGAGCTATTTATCTCATGTGACACAGCCACCTGCTGAAAGTGACCCAACACCCAGAGTGAGCAGTCCATGCACCACCCAAAACCTCTAAACACATCTGGCAGTCAGTCCACACGATGCTGCAGGCACCAGAACTTCCCACGGGGAGTTCCTACACTGGCTGCCCAATCAGGACCCCTTACAAGCACAAGAGGACACTCCCCTGACAACACCCTGGCCCCACGATGTCTTTGTCCACTGAAAACCAACAACCACCCCTGACCCCAGTCAACCCCATGAAGGAAGGGTACTGCAAGGCCTGGGGACACGCTGACATGTCTCTGACACATAGCCAAGGCCGCAAGCCCAACCTCAGCGCATCCCACAGGTTTCTAAAACAGAGCTCAATCGAACAGGCACAACTTCACAGTGCCCCTAGACACAAGGAGAAGGGAGTCTCCACCAATACAAGAAAATCACATCTCTGATTAGCTATTCCTGCATCTCCCTCAACAGCTGGGAAACTGTAATTTACCCCCATCAAATTGTGTTTTAGGCTGGACCTAAGGTGGAATTTCTGTTTAAAGTTTTGCAAACATTTGTCTAAACATTTTCAAAACATCAATTTTAAATACACCAGTGATCCTCATATATCTTAAGCCAGAAAATTCAGTCTAGCCTGCTCCATCAGACCCTGAATTACGAGCTGAGGTAAACGCTGTGATGTTCCAGGCATCCTCTACTCGCCTTCCCTCCCAGGACGCCGGCCAAGGACTGCAGCTGAGGCTCTTGTCCCCTGGCTCTCTGGTGAGATGCAGGGCTGCCGGCAGGCTACTCCGAGGGCAGGGGAGATGTGCTCTTGGACCATGTTCTTAGGCAGGTCAAAGGTCTTTAAAATTTCTTCCCAAAACTTATTACAAAAAAGACAACTCTAAGGGCCCTGCCTGTTTACTTGAACACTGGAACCTTCTTCACTAGGCCGATCTTGTGCCTTTGGACACTCCCGCCATCCCTGCCTATCCGGCATCTTCATGGCTGCCTAGGACAACGTCCCCTTCCAGATCCTGCAGGGCTCCTCCTGTCCTGTGTATAGCTCTGGTTTCCACTGCCTTCCTCAGCTCAGCCATTCTGGACTTTCTGATGCCCTGTAGCGCATTTCCAGGTCAGCCTTCCGACTTCATTTTGTATGACTCTGGGCACAGCCCCCTGGAGGAGAACGGTGACGGCTGCAGAAATGTGGACCAGTCTACAACTCCACGAGAGAGAAGAGAGCAGTTGTGAGGGGTGGGCACCAACATCCTCCCCTGGAAGCCACATGCACCTGCCTCACCCCTGTTCCAGGCATTAAAGTAACTCTGCTTCAGCACCTACTGAAAACCAGAGGAGGCACAGTCAATCCTCGTCCTAATGGGCACCTTCCACATGGGCCACGGTGCTCTGTGATGAAGAAACAGAATCACGGCTGCCACCAGATGACAGAACACACCTAGCAGGCAAGGCTTCCGCGTGCTTCTGTGACCTGCAAATCCAAACAACCAGACACATCCCAGTCCAAGACAAAGCCTGAGGATAATGTATCACAGCTCAACTGCTCCTCTTTCTGCCCAAAGCTACCTTTTTTCCTGCTGGAGATCTGTGGGCTGTGCAAATACAAGGCACCAGGAAGCCACAAGCTGCACCTCAGCTCATCTGGCTGTGGCAACACAGCTGGGAAAATCCTTTTTTGTGACAAACAGGAAGTCAGAAATGTGCCAGGCCAGGAAACCTGGTTTCTTGCCGGGGCTAGGAAACTGCCGAGGTGAGTCCTGATGGCTCCCTGGCCCAGGCTGGCTCTCTCTCTCTCTCTCTCTCAGCCTCTGCAAGAGCCTGAAGCACAAAGCATGGCCTCGGCACACAGCCTTCTGCTGAGATTCCTTCCCAGGTCTCTGGTAGTGGGGAGCCCATTCAGACAAGAGTGCCCCAGGGCACAACTGCCTGACCTGTAGCTGCCCACAGGGCCAGCCAAGATGCCCTCCAATCTCCCTCCAAATGGAGGCTCGTCCTGGTTTTTTGCTTCTTTCCGCTGACCTGGGCCCCAAAAGGTAAGAGTGCAGAGTAATATGCATGAACATCACTTGTGTAGTCTCATTCTCAACCCACCCTTATTTTGTGATCTCCCTGTGGTGACAGCTTCAAGTGGCCATGGCTCTGGGTACAACCCTGCCTCTTGGAGCAGGCTGAAAAGTGGCAAGAAGCACTCATAACCCACAGTGGGGCTGATGAAGCTGTCCCTAGAAGACAGCATGTCTGTGTAGAGCGACCACCAGTGGGCACTTGGCTCTGCAGGGCTCCAGTGACCTGGACACACTTCTGTCCCAGCTCCCCAAGTGGGCTGCATAGGTGTCTATTTCTCTATAAAGTGCAACATATTAACAACTACAAAATCAAAATAATGACCAGAGATTTTCTAGGCTGCATTCAGTGGACCTTTATCTTTGCCCCCTCTCAAACTTCTCCCAAAAAAGCCCACTATGGAAGCACTTTACAAGTTAATATTTCTTAAAACACTTTAAAAAATAATGACGGCTATCTTCTTGCCTAAGTACACAACACCACACTTTCTTCATCTGATCAAACTCTTAAAAACTAAAGCAGAATTCTGCATAGGCACACTTCGATTTGTGCAAATCTTACTAAAATAAGGCTATCTTCAGTGTTCAGTGTTCAGGTAGTGTGGCAGGAAGGAATAAAGAACGCTCTCAAGCAACAGGAAAAGATTCCCTGTTCTCCGAGTTCTCTCCAGTGCCACGTGACATCCCAGGCAGTGGCGGAGGGAACACAGTCCTGGAAGTAAGGCTCAGGGGGGACAGGGGACTTGGACTTGTGTGATGGAGGCACGAACAGCTCCATCGTAGCTCTTCCCTTTTATAAAATGAAAGCCAAAATGCAGAGGGCAGCAGAGCATCGTTCAGAGGCTGGGACGCCTCCGTGTGCTGCCGGAGGCCAGCCTTTGCCACGGGACACGTCCAGCCACCAGTGGCCCCCGGTATCTGCTCTATTGGATCTGAGCAGCAGGCTGAGTGACTCAAGGGATGGGAAGATAAAAGCAAAATGTGAGATGGCAGAAGTGTGCAGAGACAATCTGCGTAGAGAAGCGATCTGCCGGGAAGCCTTACATTCTATAGACCGCGTGGAAGGAAGACCCAGCAGGAGAGAGGAGGCCACAGCAGTCTCCTCCCGTAAATCAAGTATTGTCAGGAAATACATCAAAACAGAATTTGACAAGCAGCTTTGCATTTAACATTCAGTCACGATACCACAGCCTGTGTGTCTGGGAAGACGTTTTTTTAGACACTAACAGCAGGTGTCGTCAAAGTCCCCAAGGATCTTGTAGCACAGGATGGAGTGCTCCTGCGCCAGGGCGGCCAGCTCCTTCAGGAACTCGGGGAAGAGGGCAGCAGCCAGCATGGTGTTCCTCACTGGCAGGGGCAGGTTCGGGGGTGCCCCAGCCACCTTCGCTCTGTTGGTCAGGAAGGGCTGAAGCACTCTGGGGGGACCATCCAAAAGGTTCCTGCCACTTCCAGTCTTGGAAGCCTCTGGAATGGGATCTGAAACCAGAAAGAAAACTGTCATGGGGCTCCTTCAAGACCTTCTACCTACCCTCTACGTGAAGTGAGTGTGTCTGGGCAAGAGGAGCTGGTGTGGGTCCTCTGGGCAGCAGCTCCTCTGACTGACTAGATCCATAGATCTGCCCAGCCTCAGCGTGTGTGTGACGTGAGACTTACCCACAATCTACACATCCTCATGCAGAAATTATGGCAAGAACACAGGCTTGCCAAGAAGCCTCCCTGCTGGCACATGGTGTGTGCCTCTGGGCCCAGCTGCCAAGGACACCTAGGCTGCATAACACAGTGATCCCCAGAGAAGAGAGAGAGACTCCCATGCCCAGACTGAAGGAAAGGGACAGAAATGAAGAAGGCATCTCTTGCCACTCGAGTCCAGTGGGTGAAGACTTGGCTGGCTGGCTGTTTATTTAGAACACTGGGTGGCCTACCTGCTTGCCTACCTGACAGGACTATGCCACCTCTGAAAGGCCAGCCCAGGTCACACAATAAAGCTCCACTCCTAATGTCTGTGACTGCAGCTGTTCCTCTGACCTTGAGGGCCCTGTGGCCCTCACAGGACCTCCAGTCTTCCATACCAAAGGAGAGTGGAAGATTTCATCCCTGGAACAAGGGAGAGGGCACTGGGGCACTGAGAAGACAGACTAAGAACCTCCTGCAGCTTTTGGGATCTAGTGGCAATAAACGGCTTGAGGCAACATTTAAGAAGGCCTTCCAGGAGTTTCCATCTCAGCCTCAATCTAAGGGGTAAGAGACAGGAGCCAAGCTCCAACACATTCGGCTGATTTGCATTCTCACACCGAATCACTAATTAAAATGGTTCAAGTTCTCTGACTGTTTAATTCCTCAACATCTCTAGCCCTCCTATATGTGTCAGAATTATTTATGCCTTTTTCTCCCCCCTACAAAACACTCTCATTGCTCCTTCTAAATTATATTCAAGCTCCTCATTATTTTGGCTGCTTTTTAGAACTCAGCCCCATTTTTCAACACTCTTCTCAAAGTGTTTCTTAACTACACTACTAAAAATTCTTGACATTTATAGTACTTTCCACATCGCACTACTATAGTCTTTAGTGTTAAAAAAAAGTCTTCCACTTTACTGCTTTAAATATCATTTTAGATGAAAGCTCCCACAGTTCACGCCTTGCAGAGGGAAAAGCTGCTGGGAACCGTCTCCCACGGCCTTTTGGCAGGAGCTCCCCCTGTTCCCTGACAACAGTGAGGACCACGGCCAGCCTGGGACACCACCGCTCACCACCCCCAGCCCTGGCTCTCAGTGACTGTCCTTCTTCCCAACCTGGAAACCAAGGAATGGGACACAGGTAGGCACTAAACCTAAACCCCAACCTACACCGGCCCCTCTGTAGGCAGCCTTTCCCCGCATCTGTCCGTCTGGCTTCCGCGGTCCGAGCAGAGTGGGCAGAGTGGTTAGGAGCACAGACGCGGCACTTCCTGGCAGAGTTACTTCAGGCACATTTCATTCCTATCAAAATGCCCACGGCTGCCACAAGGATTAAAGGAGGCACCCGCTGTCACACACACGAGGCGTAACTGAGGAACACTGACTGCGAAGCGCACCCCCAAGCCTGCCCCCAGAAGTTCAGCAGGCACAGGTTGGCACTGCTCTTAGGCTGCCACTGCAGTTCGTGTTCATCTCCTCCACCACATGCCCTAGCTTCGAGAGTCCAAGCCCATCCAATGACGTGTGCCCCACAGCCTGTACTGCTACCACACCAGCACCTGTGGGATGCTGGTAAGGCAGAGCTGCACCGTCCCCCTACTCCTGGAGACTGCAGAGCGGCCTTGACGTGTCTCCACCTTTTCACGCGACTCACTCCCCTGATCCTGTATACTTTCTGCAGCTCTAGGGTGACCTGTGTAACTGCTAGGATTGACCTCCCCAGCTTGAGTCCCAGCATCCAGCCATAGCTCTCAAGTCACGCTCAAGTTGACCTGAGCAATAGTCCCCTCCCAGCAACCAGTTCATCATGTAGGGTCAAGGTCTCCTGGGACAGGACAGCCATTACCCAGCCTCCCTTCCAGGTTAACAGAGGCAACTGAAGGACTGCAGACATGTACAATCTATGGTTTTCCCAAGTATGTGAAGGGACAAAGCGAACCCTGACAACTGGCAGAATCCAAGAGACCAATAGTGTCAGGAACAGGGCGGAGGCTGCTGGCAACAGGATGCCTCTGGGGCAGCAGTCCTCTCCCGGCTGTGGGGGACACCCACGCAGAGGCTCCAGGAGGCGAAGGGGTACGGGAGGGCACAGCTCTGGCTGCACAAGCCTGAGTGACGCCCCTCAGACAGGAGCCCAGCACATGCGCACAGCACTGGCAGGAAAGGGCACAGAGGGGAGGAAGTGAAACACAGCCAGCACTGAATGTGGGTCCTGAAACACTATGACAGAAGGTGTCCTGAATGAGTGTGGAGCAGATTTCAGGGAAATGCATGAGGAAGGAAAGGACACAGCACATACAGACACAGGAGCCCACTATATGACCTCTGCCATGATGCCAAGTCACTTACTGTGCCAGTGACACCAGGATCCCCCAGTTCAACTCACTGACAGGCAGTCACGTCACAGGAAGGCTTCAGAGTACATCACTTGTGATGTAGAGATTTCAAGTTGCAAGGGAAGCTATGTTACATTAGCAACCTAAAAGAAGTTTGGAGCTTCGTCTCAAAAACTCAAAAGGAGAACTTTCTTTCCCAAGAGAAGCTTCTGCAAGACAAAGATCCCTGATTGTCATAGACCTTAAGAAGCATCAACACCACCAGGTATGGCAGTACATGTCTGTAATCCCAGCACTTTGGGAGGCTAAGGCAGGAGGATCACAAGTGTGAGCCCAGTCCAGGTTACTTAGTGACTTAATGAGGCCCAGCCTCAAGGGCTAGAGACATAGTTTAGTATGAAGGCTCTGGGTTTACCCTGGCATCGACCCTGGCTGACTAACTTGATGACCCAGCACAGTCAGAACAAGTTCCCCCAAGCACACACCTCACACCCACAGGTGCCAGAAAGCCTGAAGCCAGGGCAGAGCCCAAGGCGAGAGTGGCACCCATCACAACCCGCAGGCTCTACTTCAGTGTGGTCTCGCCAAGCTGCCAGGCCCTAGAGCTTCAGCAGCCCGGTGACTGCCCTGGGCCTCTCTCCCACTTCCCTACTGAAAACAGAGCTACGGGACTTTTCTTGCCCCTCACACAGTACAGTCTGACAATAAAAACTGGCTGTCTGGGGAAAAGCACCTCACAAGCTGTAAAATGTAAGTGAAGACCAAGCCAGCAGTAAAAACAACACATGGAGCTGGAAGCCACCTGGTACCCAGCAGACAGCAGAGAGGCCCCAGCCCTTTGCAGCTCTTGCCATCAAGAGGTGGGGCTCCTCCTCCTGTTGTGAACCTGGCTTGGCCCTGTATAAACAAAGACCCAAGTCACAGCTCAGAAGACGACAGGCATTGAGCCTGCCAGTCCCAGCCAGCCGAGGCAAAGCAGCCAGGCCACCCAGGCCCACACCAGTGGCAGTGCTCCTGCCTCCACACCAGCTAGCCACAAGCCTAACCCAATCTCGCGCCCCCTCCAGGCCTGGTGAAAAAGTGCCATCAGGGCTCTGGGCTGCACACAAACTTCACTCCTCCCGGCACACAGGAAGTTTTCACTTCCACAGCCCTGAAGTACATTTATTGCTTTGGCCTTTGCAGATGTAACAAAGGGAGCACATGCCTTCCTCAGGCCAGAGCTGGCCAAAAAACGGCCCCAGGATCACACAGAATGCGGCGGACCACAGACAGCGCTGTGCTATCTACCATGGCTCAATGACACCCCACAGACCAGCTCCTTCCTGAACTGCACTCGAGGAAACAAATGCCGTGCAAAGGTGACACAGCCAGCCGAGGGCCAGGCAGACTGTCCTGGAGATTTCACAACATGCGGTGCGGCTCCTTCCTGTTGGGTAAAAATGAAAGCATCTTCAGATGCTTCCAGGGCCCATGCATGGGGAAGGGGAGGAGTGCGCTGACCTGGGGTTAGGGCCACAGGCGTCACCTCAGAGGTGTCTACCCGGAAGAGCAGGTACTGCTGGGCCTGGATGAGGAGGCTGGGGAAGTCTCGCTCCACAGATGCAAACTGCTCGATCTTGTTTTTCACAGATGCCAGGACCTGTCAAGGGCCACAGTAAAGACGTTAAATGCCCCACAGTGGAATTCCATTCTCAGTTACCCACCCATCTTCCAGGTGCAGCCCTCATTACGGGAACTATTACATGAGGCCCGTGCTCATTTTAACTGCCTGGGCACTCCTGGTAGGGCGTCCTCAAAACACCACACTAAATGAAGCTTTGCAATTTATCTAGAGGAATCTACAGCTAGTGTAAGGAACAGGACGGAAAGCGGATCAGGACGGTGGGACTCCTGAGAAACAACAAAACTATGAGAGGAAGAGGCCCTTGGAAAATCGGAAGTGGGCTCCGGGGCATACCTGGTAGAGGGAACGTACGCTGGGCTGGAAGACCATGTTGGTGTTGAGCAGGAAGGAACGCAGCAGGGGCTGCGGGTAGCTGGCCAGCTGCGTGAGGATCCCGATGAGCAGCAGGTTCACGTGCAGCGAGTTCTCCAGCATGTTCTCCAGCTTGGACAGGACCACGCTGATGAACGGGCCTGTGGGGAGAATGAGGGGCTTCAGGGCTGACGGGGCAGGGCCGTGAGTCTCCTCAGCAACTGTAGAGCCACCAGAGCCACAGCCCACCGGCCAGGGCCACGAGGTGCCAACCTGTGAGCACAGAAGTCCAGCTTCCCTGCTCAGGTCCAAGCAGAAGACGAAAGGCAGCCACACCAGAAGACAAAACACCCCTCCCAGGAACTAATATTCTGACCCTACAAGCAATTTTAGCACTTTGAAACTTATCATGGACATAGAGGAAAATCAGACATTTATAAAAACATGCTTTTTTCTACACTGTTTTTATCTTTCTGTGGCCACTGGGGCTAAAACAAGACACATCATCTCAGATGCAACAATCGATGTAAGGTTTTGCACAAACATCGGAGCCCATTAAAAGTGTTAACTACAAAAAGAATCTGTGTTAAGGAATCCCAAACACACCCAAACCAAGTTTGCTGAACAGCAACATGCAAACCACAAAGAGGCACGTGGAAGGACAGGAAAGGCAGACAGAGGCAAAATTGAAATGCAGCTCTGCACTGTGTACTGGCAACCCTGCCCACTCAGCAGTCACAGTGTAATTTCTCAGATAAGAAGAGATCCCGCCTCGGGTGATGCAGTCTATATGGAATTCATAAGAAAAAGACCCACACATGTACAACTGCAAAAGTTGTTCATAAAAATTATGCACAAAAGTGCTTCTGCTACTTTGGGTCACCAGGAAATTAATATGCTGTATGTTCTAGTTCACTGAAGACAGGGAAAACAAAAAAAATCTGGCATTAATAAAACCACTTAAAGATGTTTTAAATTTTTGCCATAAAAATGTTCCATTAAGTAAAATCAATGAGAATTTTGTATTTCCCCCAGTGGAGCTCTTGATAAGGCTACTAAACCCCAACAAATTTATAACAAAAGCACATAACTTCTGGTAAATAAACATGCTTTATGAAGACTTCACCACCATTAATGTGATTTTAACAGAAAGTAAAATGCTCCACCCAGAAGCCCTGGTAGTACACGAGGGTGATGCTGCTTCTGGGAAGCATGGTGTCAGAGAAAAACAGACACCAGACCTTGCCCACCCAGGTGACAAACAGCCCCTCCGCTGTGCCCGTCAGGAGACTTGAAGGACGTCCCTAGCGGGTCTCAAATCCAGAAAAGGGCCCAGCCCACCCCGTTCTGCGAACAGCTAAGCCGCCACTTTTCCACCCATGGATGAGACACAGAACTCCAAGGTCCCTTTCCGTGGCAGAGGCGAGGTTCAGTAAGCCCTGGAACAGCTCATAAAATAAACCTGGGAGGACTGGCAAAGGCATGCAGACACTCTAGACTGGAAGGAGCCCCAATCTGAAAGCAGCTAACGATTTTCCTGTTGAGAAGCCCAGAAATGCCCATGGTGCTTTTTCTTCGTGACCCCAGCGCAGTCCGGTTCCCCAGGTGGATCTACAGGAGGAGGACGCTGTTGTCACCCTCCTCAACGCTGGCACACAGTCTCCCGCACTCCACGCCTCTCCCTCTGCAGTCACTGACTTGTTACCTGCTTCTATCTGGATAGACCAAAACCAAGCCAGTGAAGGCACACACAGGTGAGCAGCCTTTCATGGAACACAAGTCCCTCGTGTGATCGGCCCACTTCCCCTTGTCTGTCCTGAACTGTACCTGTCCTTACCCTCCCAGTTGTAGACATGCAAACGCTGACTGTTGTTGATGGGGGCCAGCCTGCGGTCCACCACTGCTGCAGACAGGGCAAGAGGCAGCCTGAAGCCCACTCAGAAAAGAACAAAATCCAGTCACAGGAGGGACAACATGCAGGTGAAGCCAGCACGGTCCACCAATGACCCAAGCTTCATGGCAGGGAGATAAACATCCTTTCACATCCTTATTCTTGGCTTCCAGTACAAGTTTTAAAGAAGTGTTTAGCAATAAGCAGTTGCTAGGGCAACTGGTAAAGAGCTGAAAACCAGAAGGCTGAGCAGTAACTCAGAGAGCCGCCTGGGTGCAGGCTTTTTCCCTCTTCTCCTGAGACAGATAAACTCCCCATCTGCTAGAGCTTGGATCTTGGATATTCCCCAAAGGCCCAATGCTGAAAGCTTGGTCCTTGGATTATGGTACCACCAGGCCCCGTGTGAGTTACGTCACTGGGGGCGAGTCCTCGAAGGCCACAGTGAGACCCTGCCCTCCTCTTCCTTTTTTACTTCCTGGCCACCATAATCCACATAGGTTCTTCTACCAAGTACTCCTTCCACAAGATGCTGCCTTGTCACAGGCCTAAAAGCAATAGGGCCAGGCAAGCACGGACTGCAGTCTCTAAAACTGTAAGCCAAAATAAACCTTTATGCCTTATGAATTGGCTTTCTCAGATATGTTCTTAGAGTAGCAGAAAGCTAACATTTGGACCATAAAATATTTAATTCCTCAGGATAAACTAGGCCATGCCCACCACCTTTCCCTGTCGCTCATTCTCTCCCCTCAAGAGTCCCCATCCCCTGCCTTGGTTCACCTGCTTCCTGGCCCTGCATATCCCAACCCCAAGAAGACAAGTATCAGTTCTGTGCCCCAGCTCAGCCAGCTCCACCCAGGAAAGCATTCTGGAATGGGAGTCTTCACCTCCACCTCTGTCAGCTCTGCCTCAGGCCATAGTCTCATCATGTCCCTCTGGACTCCGACAATTCTTCTATTTTAACAGCAGTCACAATTATTACAGCTATAGATAATGACATGGGGATGAAACACATGTTTTTAAATATAGTATGAAGATTCAAAGTGAACTCCATCCCACCTCTAGGAAACTACTGCTATTACATTCCAGTGTATTCCTCCAGAAGTGTCTTACTAATAAAACAGCTGAATTTTTAAAAGTATTTACTAGGCATATTCTTTGTATCAACTCCCTTAAAACAACTATCCCAGGAAGTATGTTTATTATTTACCCTATTTAAAGGTAAGAGAGTAAAGAATGGAATTGGAACTGTAAACTGAGACCCTCCGTTTTCAATGCTCCTGAGCAATTCAGGACCCTGCCCCATTGTACCACACATGTGCATGTGTGCACCCCGGCATTTTACAAACAAAGGACAATCTTCTTCGTCCACTGCTGTGTAGCCCGCTTTTCCACCTAACAGTAAGTGTGGAGACTGCCCCCCACCAGCACACCCAGGCGATCTTGATCATCCAGGGCTGTAGACTACTGCAGTGTTAAGAAGCCGGGTAGATAAGCTGCTCACTGCTGGCCGTTCGGCTGTTTCCAGTCCTTTTCCGTTATAAGGAGCGCTGCAGTGCACATCCTTGCACACACAGCTTGGCACAGAAGAGTGAGAACAGCCCTGGAAACAGAAGGAGCTGCTCCAAGCACTGCTGCAGCCTCAACTCTTACATTACGGAGCCTCTCACCTGAGCTCCAGTCCTGATCCAACATCGAGGTCGTAAACCCTGGCCCCGGCCTCTCCTACACCATCGCCAAGATGGGCTTTTTCACTGCTCCCGACCTCAGTGCTTCAAGGGCTGGGGGGCACAAGATCTGCATTCTTCAGCTCTACCCTGAGGTCCCTGTAAGCCGCCCTCAGCCACACTCCCACTTCCCTGCTTGGGGCTCCTCTGTACCCCTGGGGTCCTCAGCACCCCTCCTCTGGATGCCTTTCCTGCTCCCTCTGGTAAGTACTCCATTAAGAGAATGCTGTTCTTGCTGGGGTCTCTTCTGAAAGACTGAATACTTCTCATTTTGTGTCCTTAGCTCCTAAGCACAGAACCTGCCAAATATTATGAGATCAATAAAAAAGGCTGAATACATTAATTTTTAAAAAATTAGATAAATGGAATGCTTTGATTTTGCGAGAATGTGAATTCACTTCAAAAAAGCTATCAGTATTCCCTGGAGAGATGGAAGTTAAGCCAAATGCTACAGAACATACTCTGAAGTCCAGAAACTACAAAGCTCACAAACACAGAAAGAGAAAAAATGTTTCCTGAAGCTGTGTACAAGTTCCAAAGAAAGGAGGAGGGAAAGGCAAGGTTTTAATTATAATTACACAGATGAATCAAAGAACCACATTGTTTTATCAGTTCTCGGGGGTATCACACGTAAAGGACTGATGTTATTTAACAAGACACCACGTTAGCTACCCCAGCCCCCAGCTATACTTTGTTTCCTTAATTTCCACATTTCCCAGGGATGCATCTCTACTGTGCAAAAGCCAGAACTTTAAAGAACAGCTCTCATTAGGCTCGCCACTGTGGTTTGGTCTGGAATATCCCCAAAAGGCTCACGATGAAGGCTTGGTCACCAGGACAGCAGCATTACAAGTGGGGCTTTGGGAAGGTCATGGTTACATCAGGAAGGCCCTACCTTCATCTCTGGAACAACCTGAACAGATTAAGAGTCTGACAGCATTATCTGGAGGTGACAGAAAAGGAAGAGGGTCACGGGGGCACACCTGGTCCCACCCCCCCTTCCGCCTGGCCCTCTTTCCTGGCTGGTGTGAGGCAAGCAGGTTTTCTCCACAGCACTTTCTGTCATGATGCTTCTGTCCTGCCATGCGGCCTAAAGGCAATGGAGCCTGACTGTCGTGGACCCAAACTATGAGCCAGAATAGACCCTTCCTCCTTTACGCTGTTATTCTCAGGTACTCTGTCACAATGCTAGAAAGACAAGACACCCAATGTCCCAAGGAGGCTGCAGAAGGCTGGAGCAGGCCAGGCCCCTGGCAAGGCTGGGAGGTGTGCCCTTCCTTCTGCCCTCCTGACTCATCTCTCCAGCTGCCCCGTTCCCTGCATCGACTGCGAAACGTGAGCTGATCTAATCCTTTTTACTTATGATTGACTGACTGATTGAATTTTAATTAAAACTTGTTCACACTGAAATGTTATCTCAGCTAGATTTCTCTTCAATCCTTATAATTGTGGAATTAAGAGCTTTCACCCTGTTCAAATAAATCTTCAGGCATCAGTAAATAAATGAATAAATACTGGGGGAGGGGAGTGGAAGAGCCCCTTGAAACTGCATTAAGCCGGCCTGGCTGGACCAGAGGGCAGTGTGCTTTCATCCCTGCCTAGGAGCTGGGACTGGGGCACAGACTCTCCCCACGAAACTGCGCCCCACTGCCAGGGACTGTCGGGCCTGAGGCTCAGGCACCTGTGACAGCAGCAGACATACCTCCGCCCTCGCCTCGGTACTCCTGAGAAATGGAGGCCCGGCTGTCAGGGCTGAGCAGCTCAGAAGTGGCAGAGCCAGGACACTGCCCAGGCCTGGCTGGAAGGCACTGCCTGTCCCTCTGTGTCACCGGCTTCTTCTGGCACTGCTCCTTACTACTGGTCACTGTTCAGGGTCCCCACTCCACCCTCAGAGCTAGATGGACCTTCTCATCTGTGGGGATACCTTCACTTACAGATTCTGATTTTGCTACTTAATATTTAATGTTCTCTACCCAATTCCTCACCCTAATCCGCTCCTCTGATAGCCTATTCCATTCCTTTGCCTTTTACTGTGATTTCCACCTGCTGCCAGCGTGTGTCACTAGGCAGGCACGTGTGGAAGAGTGATGACTCTGCATGGCTCTGGTCTCCCTATTTTGGGGTAAAGAATCTTTGACTACCTGGCTGAGCTCCCAGGCAAAGCCACAACCACCCCCAATGGCCTCTCACACCATGGCCCCAGTGGTGTGTACACACAGTCACCGCCACTGCCCCAGTGTCAGGGAGAGAGCACAGAACAAATGGCTCTCTCCTTTCCTGGAGCCAGCACCCTAGCAAAGAGATGGTAATAAAATATAAATACACACACATACACACACACAAATAAACAATAAGAAAAAAAACTAGACTACAGGTGTGGGACTTCCTGTGTGGTAAATCAGGCCTCTTAGTTTATCACAGGTATATCAAGTAAAATTTAACTTGCAAAAGGAATAAGGGAATCATTTTAAGAAACAAAATAAAAATAAGACCACTGCACTCTGCTCTGAGCAAACATCTGCTCCTACTCCAGTAGGCAAGCAGATAAAGCTTGCTGCCATCACCCACCTCCCATTCCTGTTCCACTACGCTCAAGCACTGTCAAAAACTGAAAAGCAATCTAGGACAGTCACCTGTGAATGGAGCACCCGGTGTTCTCGCGGGGTGGTGACTGCCACAGGCAGGCTCCTCTCGCACCCCGAATGGGGAAGGCATGCTCTCCACAGCAGGAGCTTCCGCTATGAGCGAGTCGAAGTTGTCCTCCTCCTCGTCCATGTCATCCTGCCCCTTCCCCTCTTCTCCCCTGCCTTCCTCCTCGCTGAGCAGCAGCCCAGGCTCCAGTGGTGGGAAGCTCTGGTCCATCAAGCTCTCAGAGCCTGAATCCAGCTCTCTAATGATCTGGTCATACTGCATGATGAAGTCCTCACTCTCCAGGCTGACCGCTGGCTCCTCTGGACCGTGCTCGGCCTTGGAGGCAGGGGCTGCCTGCTGTGGGTCTGACCTGGGAGCCGGTTCAGGCCCATTCCCTCGAGTCGAGTCCTTTGATGTGCTGAGAAGCAGGTCTGAACCGTCGCTTCTGTGTCCTTCCTCTGAACCTGGCTCTGGCTGGGGATGGAGAGGCCCACTGTTCACAGGGGAGCTCTGAGCCTCCGGCTGGATCTCAGCTGCTGGCTCCACAGCTTCTCCCTGTGAGTCCTTGGTGTCCTCTGTGTCCTTCTCCGCACATAGCCTATACACCATCACGTCATCCTGGAAGTCCGACTCCTCAATGTAGGACCCTTTGAAGAGCAAGATGGCATTCTTCTTCATCTCCTGGATGTGCTTGGGTGGATCAACTGGCACTGGGGGGCCAGAAGTGTCCAGGTCATTGTAAGCCCCAGGGGAGCCCACATCAGCTCCTGAGGAGATGCCTGTGTCGTAGCTGTCATCCCACTCCAGCTCTGTGTGGCCTTTTTCCTTGGCTGAAGCCAGCTGACAGCCTCCTGACCCTGGGTGCTGTGGGTGCTGGGACATGGGGCTGGCCTCTGGCAGACCAGGCAGAAGCGTCTCGGAGCTGGGCGAGTCCCCGTCGTACAGCGCAGACCAGACCCGGCAGTCCTGCATGCAGCGCAGGATGTTGGTGTGGGCCTCCCACAGATACTGCAGGTAACTGATGTCCAGGGCCTTCCCATACTCCACAATGCAGGCCGATGGTGAGGCGGCCTCTGGTGGTGGCTCTGTGGGCCCTGGGAAGACACAGCAGTCGCAACAATAGGCACCAAGAGTGGCAGGTGGGATGTGACCTGTGCCAGCTAGGACTACATCGCTTTAGGCTTGGTGAGTTCTGATTAAATGACATCTGAATAGTCAAAGCTGACTAGTTTTTGTTGCATTTGTTTTGTAGCACTGAGTATTGAACAGATTTTAAAAAGGAACCTCACAGAAGATATAAAACCAAATGGCCAAAGCCTGGCTACCACTCATGGAAACTGGTGAGAACCGTGCTCAGAGAAACAGGAGCTAACCAGGGCTACCTTTCAAGGGGTGAGTGGACATCACACATAGACTCAGAGGAGTCCCTGTCTCACAATAATTACTGGAGTTTTTTTTTTTACTTTGGCTCTAAAGTGGGAGGTTGGTAACCCATGAATTTGGGAACTGGTTTTCTATAGGAACACTGGACTTTTAGCAAAGCCAATTAACTCACCAGCTTCCTGTCTCTTTAAGTCATAGTCACCAACCAAAATAGTCACTTTTACTTAAGCATGCTCTCTGTTGTGACATATGACTGTCTTTGATGTTAAAAGTTCTGACCTGTTATTGAAATAGTTGAGAAAATATTTGCAATTTTAAATTTACATTTTCCCTCAAAGGGAAAAAAAGACTAGGAAAATGTACATTCCACCATCCACCACTTCTTGATCCATCAGACCAACACAGACGCTAACCCAGTGGCCCTCTGTGGAGGACACTACACAAATGAAGTGGAGGCTCACAGACAGCAGCGCACTGCCCCCAACCACAGCTGGCCAGAGCTGAACGTGGTGACCTCCCGTCAGCCCTCATTCCCACGTTAGTGTCACACCCTCACCAGCCTCACCCCATCACTGGAAGTTCCTACCTGAGCCGTCGGGCATGCCCTTTGACCAGAGGATATAATCCCGTTCTTGGTCCCCGAGCGTCACAGTGATGCCACTGGCACAGCAGCCAGGAGTCAGGGCGAGCAGCTTGGCAGCAGACACCGAGTAGCAGTCTCTCTCCTTCACAGCCCACCTCTGACTCAGCATCATGTGGTTGCAGGGGATCAGGTACCTAGAATGACACAGAGCCAGCCTTCATGGGTTGGGTCCTAGTCCAGGATGGGGACCAGGTACTGATGTGTGTTCCAGACCAGCCCACGAAGGACTCATCCTTTCTCCACTCTCAACCTGCCCATCACACTGGCCAGCAGGCTCCATCTGCTCCCTTGATTTGAACTCATCCAGAGCTTCTCTTCTGATCCCATCCCTCTGCAGAACACCTGAGTCTTTGCAATCCAACTCCATGAACCTTTTAGTCCCCCTCTTAGCCTCTGACCCTTCTCACACAGGATGTGCTTCCCTTCCCTCCTGACAAATGGCATCATCCTATAAAGCACACCTTCAGCACCGCTGCTCTGGACCCCCTTCTCCCAGACCAAGAGGACCTCTCCCACCACTGAGCACTGCCACCATAGATCCTGTGCTACCACAGTAAGCGCCTGCATCAGCACTTGTCATCCTATGATCTGGAAAACACTGGGGTCAGTGAAAGCACACATCCACTCTGCAGTATAAACTTTATTTTTTTTTTAACCCTGAGACAAGGTCTTGCTAAATTTCCCAGGCTGGGCTGGAACTTGGGATCCCCTTGCCTCAGCCCTCCATAGTGCTGGATTATATAGGCAGTACCACCACACCTAGCTTAGTGTAAACCTCTTACGCTCTCCTGAGTGACCAGAAAAAACCATGGTGGCTAAAAGTTCTGCAAGAAGTACCAGGCTCCATTTCACCCAGGACACTGTTGGCTAGGGAGCAAAAGCATCTTTGTGTCATGGACCTAAAGACCACCGGACTGTGGGAGCGTATGGGAAGCTTTCTGAGTAGCACACAGCATGCTCAGATGGCTGCTCTCTCAAAAAGGAAAACCACAGTGCTCATTAAGGAGGTGGGGGTAAGGACCCAGGCAAGGGCTGGGGCTAGTGCCTGCAGCTAGTGCAGGAGCTAGTTTCTCCTCGGAGCAACACCTTTCAATACACTACAATGTTTTTTTTTGTTTCTGCAGCTTCAGAGCCTCCAAGAAAGAGGAAGCAGAAACTGTGATTAGGTTTATGTGAAGAGGTAACACATACTACTTGAAGGATGTGTCTTGGACCTGTAAACATCAAGCCCTTTCCCATGCCTCCTGTTGATCCAAATGAGGAAAAGGTAAGACTGTATGAGCACCCAGTATGTGGCAACAGCCTAAGACAAGGAGCAAAGAATCATCAATTCTATTCACTGGTCTCAGCGATAAAGGTTTTAACAATACTTACTCGTCCGTGCCTTGTAGTCTCCCCAGAACCAAATTCTTTCCCAAGCATTCAACAGACCTCATGCAATGAGTGAGGCAAGCAGATCCCGCCCTGCCTCTCCCAGGGGCACCTACAACTTAAGGTGTTCACAAAGGGGCTGGGATCTCACTGCTGGGCAACCTGAACCACGGTGGCACACGCACGACTGGCCCATCAGGCAGTTTTTTATTGATTTGGTTACAAACAGACTGAAAAAGTGATTAGATCTGTTTGTACCACCAATACTAACACTGCCCAAAGGGATGGCTATGTTTGTACCACTGGTGGCTCAAGCTGGCAGGATGTGTTCAACTGCTGTCAGTAATAACCACATGCCCCCTATTGGTCACACTTAATGTAGTGGCCCTTCATTCTCATAAACTCAGCTGAAAACTACAAGACAGGAAACATAGGGGACAATGTGGGAAAGGGGAGATAGATTCTAATTCTTGGCTAAGCTCTGATAATTGTACCTGAGCCCTACAAGAGGAAAGACAAATGCCACAGGTGGAAAATGAAGGAGCTCTTTCTCATGAGGTTCTCTGTGAGCAGAAATGCTCTGGTGACCAGGAATGGCACGGGAGGGGAGGGATCTGTCCCCCTCTGTCTGAACCCAGCGATGCTGCAGTGGGCAGACACCTCAGGAAAAGGCCCACAGTGCACAGCAGAAAACAGGAGGAAGTCAGCAGCAACAAAGAGAGGCCTGCAGACACCACTGTGACAGCAGTGGTGGGAGGACTTGTTCCTGACCACACACAAGCCCACCCGTGGGGTCCCCTGCAGGTGATGGTAAAGTCTGCCACAAGATGGCTGTGGAGACCCACCCTGAACTTACTGATGTGAATTTTTCTTTTTCTGTAGGCTGTCAAGGCCCAGGGAAATTCAGATTACAGAGGATTTACTGTGTCCTTATTTTGGTCATTAATTATTTATGGAATAAACTGCTTTATTGACTATAAGAATTCAATAACTATTTGCATCTCAAATCAAACATACCTCATGATTGAGGCGTATATACACAGACCTCTAATGTTTGTTTGAAGCATCAAAAAAATAGAACACTGGATCAAAGCTAATAATGCTATTTATCAAGTGTCACACCAGTGGGTACCCTGAAGTTATTTTAGAATAAAGAGTTACTGGCAATTTGCAGCTTCACAAATACTGTACAATCTTTCAGCAGAAACTAAGAATTTTCTCCTGAGTAAATCAAAGAGAGAGCCCCTGTCGGCTGAAGAAGCAGTTCTATGCAACTGGAAATAGAGGCGTTCATTCAAGTGAACTCCCTGGTACTCAGAGCAGTTGTTTCCTCAGGTTAATGAAGCCTCACCTTTAATGAAGTGAAAGAGTAGACAAACCACACCTCGACCGTCTCTTTCCCTGTAAAGATCAGGAATAAAACAAACGCTAGCTGCTCTCCAAATGTCAAGCATCAAAATAAGGTGGCTGTCCACAGCAGAAACGCACTGAGGCATTTAGTACAAAGTATACACCATCAAACTTTCATTATACATTCATTTTATAGGGGGATTTCATTCAAATTCAGGAAGAATAACCAGAGACTAACAAATACTGACTTTCAGCACCTGGATTACTCAAAGCTATATCCCAACACAGCAGTGATCAAAATGTCCTTATTGTCCTTTCCATTTTCATTACTTCCTCAACCTTCTACAAGCTTGGGTCTATGGTGATTTGGATTTGAAATGTCCCCCAAAACTCATGTGTTCAAGGCTTGGTTGCCAGCTCATGGGCTCTGCAGAAAATGATTGGATTATCAAGGCTTCAATGTCATCAAGTAGAATAATCCACTGATGAAATCATAATTTGATGGCCTGCTTTATTTTTTATTTAATTTATTTCTTTAGTTTTTTTTCAGACAATGTCTCACTACTCAGTCCAAGCTGACCTGGAACTCATGATATAGCCCAGGCTGGCCTCAGAACTTTCTGTGATCCTCCTGTCCCAGCCTCCTGAGTGTTGGAACAACAGGCAACCATCACCACACCTGGCTTTGTCAGCATTGAGAAGGGACAGAAACAGAAGATGGGACCTAGCTGAAGGGAGTGGTCATGGGGTCATAACCTTGCAGATCTGGTCGCCAGCTCCTTGGCTCTTTCCCTCTCTCTGTGCCTCTACCCTCCATGCTTTTCAGCTGCCACAAAGTGAGCAGCTTTCCTGGCCCACACCCTTCCCCCTGCCTTATCACAGGCCTAAAATAAATGGAGTCACCTGACCAATGAGTGAAACCTCCAAAACTGTGAGCCAAAGTAAGAATTTCCTCCTTTAAGTTGTTATCTCTCAGGTATTTTGTCACAGAGACAAAACAGCTGACTAACACAGGGATTGTTTCTTTTCTGTATATTACTCATCAAATAATTGCTTACCAAAAAATTCAGTAACAAGCAACTGATGACAAAGAACACGCAGGCTTTTTACTGCACTGCCAAGAAAAGCAAACCAAACCCAGCAGTAAAGTAGAATGAGGTAAGCCAAGTGTTGCTGACCACAACCCTCACACTGCGCCAGTGTGCAAAACTCCACATTGGTGAATTTCAAAAAGCTTTCCTGTTCAAAGACATTCTGGCCACATTTTCCCTATTACTTTCCCCTGAGCTGGCTGCCCTTTCCTCTCCCAACTCTTAGGCAAGGTGGAAATGTTCTTACGTGGAACGTGCAGCTTCTCTTCAGTCTCTATCTGAACATAACAGGCAACAGCGCTCATGACCTGACAATGGACCGGCACTTCTGCAGAAAAATACCCTACCCAAAATACTCAGAAATGACACGGAAGGGGTTAAGCAATTATATTTTGCCTTAACTGGGAAGTTTCAGGAGCATGGGGATGATCTGTCACTCTACTGCTTGACAGCATTTCTGCCTGCCCTTGCCTATCACACACTGCATTCCTGGAAGTGAGTGATTTCTCTTTGGTTTTCTGCTCACTGACACCCCTCCCTTGGGAGTATCTTACTCCAAGCTGCTCTTCTGATATTTCTCCAAATGAAAGCAACATTATCAGTTGCAAACAGAGTATCATTCTGAACACTCAATATTTAAGATCATTTGAGTTGCAGCAGAAATCACATGTGACCATTATTTATCCCTTCTTAAGTGATCACTTTTTATTTAATGAATATAATATCCCTTTAAAAAGCATTTACAGAACCTTCACTGCTCCAGGCTGCTCAGACCTATGTTTACAGGTACATCTGAATGACTGGTGTAGTGGCAGAGACAAAAAGATAAATTACGAATCTACTCTTAGGTCCTTTAACCCAAAGTTCCAATGACAAGAAAAATGAAGTTCTTTTCATGCCTTTGCCTTGGGGACATCCTCTACATAAGAAGACACTGTCATCATGAATTTGAAATGCATTGTACAGAAAATTTGCTTTAGGTTTGTGTGGTACTTTATCTCACTTCAAAACATTTTCACAGACAGCACCACAGCTGGTCCTCCCTTCAAATACCTTGTGAAACGGCATGTTCCAAAACTGAATCAGCAGTTCAGAGGAAAGAGGCCAGAACAGTGGTCTCTTATAAGTCTTCTCATTCGCTCTCCTCATGGACTTGCCCAGGGCAGCACAGAACTAGAAAGATTCAATCAGCAACTACACTACCCTATTACAAGGAACACAGTTGGGCAAATGTAGGCTCAGAGAGCCTACGACCAGCAGTCAAATTTCAGGGCTAATCTGAGGCCTGGCATTTGGTCTGGAATATTTGGTAACATGCTTCTGCAGCACTTTCTTAAGTTACTAGTCCTTATCCACTGTGGACATGACCAGCCCTAAAGTGTACATGGACATATTTGAAACAAGAGCTAATTCCTCCATCACCATAAGGCATGCATCTGGGTTTCAAGAGAAGCCAAAACTACTGCCATCTCTAATCACATTTTTTTTTGTTGGCACCGGGTATCAAACTCACAACCTTGCGTTTGCCAGGCAGGCACTTATACCACTGAGCTAAATCCCTGGGCCTCCAAGGACATTTTTAATCCAGGACTTTAAGAGCAGACACAAGGTAATCAGAGCTTACCTCGTAAGGCCCCGGTCAGCAGGCTCTCACTAGCTGGGTGGACCTGCCCTAGTGACCCCCAGTGGAGAAGTTCTGCATCTCCCAACCAAGTCAGCCCTCCAAGCATGCTCAAAACTAGCTGCTTTCCTGTCACCAAAGGAGCAGTATTTAAAAATTTAACATTTCAATATAGTCAGGCTTTACCCACCTTACAATAAAAGCCTGTTTTTTTGGCAATAAAAAAGGTTTCACCATGTTGTCCCTCTGGACTTTACTCAGGCCTTGCCAGCGCATTCGGTCATGCCAGTAGACATTCATCAGGGACTCGTCCTTTTAGAACAGACTACCCGGTGTGCTTCTCTATCAAATTTATTCTCTGCCAATGCCATAGATTAGTTACTGATGACCCAATCTGTACCCTAAAAAGTCTAAAACCCTTTTTCACTTCAAATCTAATAAAAGACACTCCCACAAAATGAGGAGACTGTAAAGCCCTCCATGATGTGCAACCACCAACTTTTTCAGACTCATTTCTAACAATTGCCTTTTGCTGGATGCTACACCTATACCACACTACTCTGCAAACTCTGCAGTGCATCAGGACTCTCCAAAGTGTCTATTAACACAGTGTGCTGGGCCCCATCTTCAAGGCTCTGATCCAGTAGGTTTGGGGAGGGCCCAGGAACCTGCATGTCTTAGTAGTTCCTGGGCAAAGCTGCTGCTGCTGCTCTCCAGACCACACTCTGCTATGCCGTTACCCATCCAGAACTCCCTGACTGCAAACACCGTATTCCATGATGAATGCTTTCTCGGTAGACTCTACTCAAACCATATCAGATCTCACCATGGACGAGGGGAAACTCCAGTCACCTCCCTCTTCCCCTGCTCTGTGCCTCACCTATCCGTTCTCCCAAGGAGAGAGCATGTGAAGTCAGCAAGCTCATAAGGAAGAAGCCTTGGTACTGGGTCTCTATTCCACACCACCAGAAGGGCGTGGAGGCTTAACTGCTGCCACCTTCCCCTGAAGCACTGGCCCTCTGGTCCTCTTGGCCAGTCCTTAAGGAGTCAATCTCAAGACTCAGGATTTGGGTTCAGCAAAAAAGGGGGAAAGAAGCACACCGCAGTCCAGCTGAGGTTCCTGGAATTCTGCACTGGGATGCAGGGTCGAACTGAGAGCAAATAGTAAAACACCACTGCTTTCCTTACAAAAGCAGACACCTCTCCAGAGACTCAGGCAAAAGGCAGCACAGCTGGAGCAAGGCAGATTTCAGGGCCACTGAGTCTCCTCCCTGAATTATCAAGTGAAAGTCATTTAATAGCGCTCTACTCTGACTGTCAGTATCCATTTTCAAATACTAGCTGCTTCGTTAAAACCTTTCCCACTTCTACTTCTGGTGGACAGACTTTGTCACCTTGTACAAAACTTTTTCAGTTCATCTGCCCCACTCAAAGAATTGTGCAGATGCTCATTAAATATTTACTGAACTGAATTGAAAGGTACTCACAGGGCCAGGATTACATACAGATCAGCAACACAGCACCTGCCTAGCAAGCGCAAAGTCCTGAATTCGATTCCCAGTATCCAAAAAAGAAAAGAGAAGAGAAGAGAAGAGAAGAAAAGAGAAGAGAAGAGAAGAGAAGAGGAAATGTACTCACAGAGCAGATAATGCACACTGAATGTGCACCACTACCAAAGAAAGGGTCAAATTAATTATTCAACAGCACTTCATATTTAGAAAAGTTTTTAATAATAAACATGTATCATAATTGTACTTTGGGAGACAAAAGTTCAGCCACGAAGAGCCTTTATAATACTTCTGAAAATTTCCAAACATTCTGCTGTGTCCATGATCATGTTCATCATCTAACACATACACTCCTGAAAAGCTCTTCTTAATAAAATGACAATTAACCTTAAGAAGTAATTCAAAAACTAAATTAGTACTCTTGATCATTTTCTTTTTTGAAAGCATGGCTCCTACTTAGCTTAATTATCAAAGTTAAATAAAACAGTGATCATACAGAGTGAATTTTTCTTTAAAGAGGAAAACAACCAGGTAACTCACCTTAAAACTAGTTGTAACATCACATCTTCACAATGTAAACCGATGAGTGTTCTAAATAATGCCAGGGACACCACACAAAGCTGGGAAGCAATCAACACACACTATTTCAAATACTGGAACAGCTCGACTCTCCACAGATGGCAAATAAATCAGAATTACAAAATAAAACGGCCTCTTTTTTTAGTAATGTTGATAAAAAGCATGCTGTTGCCAGAGAGAATGTGTATTTCAGGATATCAGTTCTCCTATAGGAGCTCGTGAGAAAGCCTGTGCCTGGAATTATGCCGCTGTGCAGAATTATCCTGCTATAAAAATGCCTATGCTCATATTTGTGACTTTTAAAGACCCAGATAAACACATCCCCTACAGCTCCCAATGTGTGAGTATATTCCCACTCCCCTGCCCCTAGCACCACCACCATACACACACTCACTCCTCAGGTAGTTTTCTTTCCTATATTACTTTCATTTGGTTATTTATAAGAAGGGGCCATAGAACACTGCATGGTACCTGGTTTGCTCTCTTTAGAGCTCTCAGCCCGAAGCCTCAGCTTAGGGCAAATATTCTCCTTGGTTCTGTTTCCAGTAAGAGTGCTGAGGACAAAACAGTACCTCCCCACAAAGCAGCTCATGTTTTAAAAAAGAATTCCTTCAATCTCCAATTTCCAAAAGGAAAAGACAAACTGCCAAATATGAGAAGTACCCAGAGGTATACTATAAAATCATTATGTTCTTTTGAGAGTAAGCTTTTAACAATCTTCCAAGCTACTTAAGTAATTTAGGCTTTCATTCTTTGTATGAGAAAGTAAGTGCTGGCCTCTTTTTTGCTCAGGATGGGCTTAAAACCTGGTCAATGAAACCCACAATGGTGTTATAAAGAAACGGCTGCACCTGACCTGCCCCCAAACATCCCTTTCATCCAGGAAAGGTTGTATAATTTTGTTCCTTTCTGAGTTATTGCACACTGCTGTCTGCTTACTAAGATACCCTTTCCTGCCTCCTCCAAGGCTAACTCCTACTTATTCTCAAAGATTAAGCTTAGACATCACCTCCCCACAGAAATACTACTACTCAGCACTTCCCTTCCCCAGTCTCACTTCCATATCCTTTTTATCTGTGGCCATAGTAAGTCCTACAAATCACTGTCGAAGGCGTTCAGCAGGGTGTGTTTCTTTGTGTGTGTGTGATGTTTTCTTTATTCTATAGGCAAGTACCTTATCAGACACATCATTCACAAAGATTTCCTACCACTTTATGTTTATTTTTTCCTACCATCTTATGTTTATTTCTTGATGGTTTCCTTTGAAGCACAGAGTTTTCTATTTTAATGGCGTCCAATTTATCTATTTTTTTCCTTTACGGCTCATGATTATGATGATATACTTAAGGAACCACTTCCAAGGTCACAAGAATATACTGTTTTTTTAAAGAGTTTCACAGTTTCACTTCTATAGGTCTCTGATTCATTTGGACTTAATGTTTACACATGGTATAAGGTAAAAGTTCAACCTCACTCTTTGGCAGGTGTATAACCAGTTTTCCCTGCACCATTTATGGAAGACTCTTCTTTCTCCTACAGAATGGCCCTAAAATCCTGCTGGGAAACCAAAGACCATGAATACGTAGGTTTATTTCTGAACTCTCAATTCTGTTCTCTTCTGCTCACCTCTCCTAATGCTAGTAGCATACTGTTTTGATTAATATAGTTTTAAAGTAAACCCTGAAATCAGGAAATATGAGTTCTCATTGTTCTTTTCAAGTTTGTTCTGGTTATTGTGTGTCCTTTGCAATTCCACCAGAATTTTAAGCATCACCTTATCATTTCAATGAAGAGCCCAGCTGGAGGAAGTTTCACAGGGAATGAATTAAAATTGCATATCAGTTTGGGAAGTATGCCTGTGTTAATAATATCAAGATTTTCAGCCTATGAACAGAGGCTGAAATAGGATTTTCTTAATTTGATTTTTCAATTGCCCATTGCTACTGTATAGAAATAAAATTAATTACTCTTGCATCCTGCTATATTCATTAGAAGGTTTACTGTTTCTGTTTGTTTACTTTTACTTTTATCGGTACTGGGGATCAAACTCACGACCTCATGCTTGCAAGGCAGGCACTTATGCCACTGAGCTAAATCCTTAGCCCACTTTACTGTTTTATTTTTAGGGTACACTTAACTTTTTACATACAAAATCATATCACCTATAAATACAGGAAATTTCACTTCTACTCTGGATGGTTTTCCTTTTCTTTTTCAGTTCCCTGGATAGAACTTCAAGCATTATTTGAATAGAACTGGTAAGAGCAGACATTCTTATGTTATTCCTTACCTAAAGGGAAAAGTTTTCTCAGTAAGACAGTAAGTTTCTCATTGATGCTCTGTATCTAATTAAAGAAGTTCCTATTTTTAGTTACATGTTTATTGTGATGAAGGTTATCAAGATTTTCTATGTCTACTGAGATCATTATATAAATTTTGCCTTTATCATTTTTGCCTTTATCTTTTTGATATAATGAATAACATTAATTGATTTTCATATTTTAAAACAGTTTTTCAGTCCTGGTTTGATAAATTCCACTTGTTTAAGAGTATACAATTTTTTTTTTTACATATTATAGATTCTGGTTGTTTGGGTTTTTGCATTTTTTGGGTTGTTTTGTTTTTTGGTATCGGGGATTGAACTCATGATCATGCACTTGCCAGGTAGGAGCTTATACCATTGAGCTAGCTAAACCCCTGGACCCCATATTATAGATTCCATGTCCTAGTGTACACTGAGAATACCTGTGTGTATATTCATAATAGATTTACATTAGCCTGCAGTTTTCTTTTGATATCTTTGTCTCATTTTGGAATCAAAACAACACTGGTCTCACAGAATGAGCTGGGATGTAATACCTACTTATTTTTAAATTTTGTAGAGTTATGTCACTCTTTTTAACGTCACAGTAAAAACGCTATGCCTCATTTCCCCCATCTCTCAACCCCCACAACTACCATTCGACCTTGTGTGTCTGTATGTTTGACTGCTTTAGGGACCTCAGATGAGTGGAATTACTCAGTTTGTCTTTTTGTGATTGGCCTATTTCGATTACTAGCATATCCTCAAGGTTTATCTATGTTGTAGCACCTCAAACTGAATTCTCTTTCTTTGTGATTTTTATCTACTTACAATTATTTAGAAATGTATTGTTTTAATTTCTGTGACTGTGAATTTCTAAAATTTCTAAAATTTCTGTCAACAATTTTCAGGTTCAGTCTGTGTGATAAGACGACATACCCTGCATTCCTGCAGTTCTTTTATCCTTAGTAGGACTTGTGCATGGCCTATTATGTGGTCTGCATGGAGAATGCTATTCTCCATATCTATTCTGCTCACTTTAGGTGAAATGTTCAGTGACTATTTTCTCTCACACTTAACTTCCCTTTTCACTTTTGTTATTTTTTTAGTGACTTCTCTAGCTCTTCCCATATAGTATTTTAACTTACAGCCTCTACTTCAAATTTATACTAAACTAGTTCCAATGAAATATAAAAACATTACTCCTGTATAGTTCTATTCCCTCTTTGGCCCATATGCTATTACTGTTAAACATATTACATCTGTGTACATTACAAAATCGAAAATACAGTGCTAAGCTATTTTCTTTTTTATTTTAAAACAAGAATCACAGCAATTAAATAGCCTTTTGAGAGGGGTTATGATGGGTGAAACTAATAGTAGTGAGAGAACTTTCAGTTAAGCAGAGTTCTACACTTAGAATGATCCAGACTTCACAGCTTCCTAGACTTTCATATAAATAAATACCCACGGGCAGAAATACAATCTCTAATACTCAGACTTGACACACTCTGGTTCCTTGGCTCTTCAGCATGTAAGCCTCTTCTTGCCCCTTTAGAACTAATTCTGCTAGCTCTATGGAAGAAAGAGTCTACATTGAAAAATTAAGGGGAAAATGTCCCATGAAAGGCAGTGAGCACTTCCCTGACAAAAGGACTCATCGGCAGGGGGGAGGGGAGTGTCCAGTTCATCTCTACCCAAATAGAAATTAATGGCTGCTCTAAGAGAAGCGGGTGAGCAGGGTATATTCGCAATTTCATTCCCAAAGCAAACTTCTGGAGTCCGAGTTCCCTTGCTCCTTACCCGGAACGGGGTGTTGATCCGGCTCGTAAGCGTGTCTAGAATGTGGACATTCTCATGCTGGTGCAGCAGGATAAAGCGGAGGAAGGTCTCTAGCAGTGCTGGTTCTGAGATGCTGCGCAGGAAAAGGTCCAGGTACGCAGTTGTGGTCATGACCTCCTCCACGGTCACCTGGGACCAAAGGCAGAGAGAGCACAGGTGAGCATCCTCGCGGCGCTGTCCACACTGCACACCTCCTGGCCCTCAGCCTCATGGCACTGACTCCACCATGGACGCGCCAGCCAGGGCATGCTGCAGCGCTCCATCAGGGATGTTCACACTCCACAGAGGAAAGGAAAGACAAAGGCAGAAAGGAGCGATTCATATTTTCTGACCACTCTAATTATCAGATGCAGTTCAAATACCATCAAGGTCTTAGTGTGTAATCAAAAGTGGAGAAAAAAGATTATGAAAACTATTTACATGGTTAGTAAAGGATTAACTAGAAATCTTAGTGTAACTTGCATGTCAATAAACATTTATTAGGATATGCTATATAAAGAAACCAAACAAGAACTTATTTTACACTAGGAAGAAGGGCATGAACTAAATGATGGAATAATAAATCACAAAGGACAGGTACAAACACAAAATGCTACAGTATTCAGATGTTTCCGGAGAGTTACAAGTCAACTTTTTATAGCTGAATAATATATATAAGGTGTTGTTTATACAGTGCTATTACTGCTTAATGAAGTAACTTTTTTATGATATAAATTAATATTTTCTACCTAAGTGATTTTTCCCATGCAGTAAAATGTCTACCTTTCAGCAAAAAAGATTTACTGAAAGAGTCAAGTTTTTCAAACGCTAAGGATCTGATGCTAAAACTTGAACCTGAAACATTTTGGGAGTATTCTAAGAGTTAAAATACACTTCTTATTCTCCTAAAAGCAGAGTATAACATGTGGAGGTCACTACCATGGTCAGTTTCCTACAGAGGCAGATTCCCATCCTTGAAAGCATGGAAATCACCAAAGAAATAGTTCAAGCTTTGAGATTCCAGCACCATACCTTAGAGATCTTAGAAATCTCCCTAACAATCAAGTCAAATGCACTGGATTCTAAACAGGACAGACAGTGATGATACTTTTTTTGAGAGATTTTATCTCTTTTCTTCTTTCTCTTTTAAAGTGTTAGCTGTCACTTTATCAGGCCACTCCTGTGCCACTCCTTTTATACTACATCCCTCTTCCACTTTTAATCTCCAGCTTTCAAAACCTACAGGTCAATTCAGAAGCCAGATGTCCAGAGCTGCTGGATGTGTACAGACGGGTCCCAAGTGAACACATCTGTGCAAGAGGCTCAGCAGTATCTATTTTGGTTGCTTAAATTACTTTTTAAAAGTTCTTGGTGTTCAGCTGCATCCTGGATAGACGAGCCGTGGCGGATAAAATATTAACAAAGCAACCGTCTGTTGACCTCAATCTAAACAATGGATGCGTTCAACCTCCATTTGAATTGTTGCTTTAGAATCTACTAACACACAGCAGTGCCTGAGTGGCCTGGACGCCCTCCCCCAGCTCCCTGTCACCTAGGAGAGCCCTCCCAACCTTCAACTCAGCATGCTGCCATCTGATCACCTTTAAAGGGCTCTCCCTGGCCCAAATACAGCAACGGAACTGGATAAGCATCAACCAGTGGGCAAATAAATTATACTGAAGAGTGCTGCCCCAGGGCCATCCTGCTTCTGAAACAAGCTGCTGCTACCCTTGTTGACTGCTTTCTCCAGTCGGGTGTGTAGGGCACTTCTACTGCTGTCCTGGGACACTTGCTCTTTTACTTAGGTGTGTCCAGTGTACAAAGCCTGGCACACAGAATGTAGTTTAGTGAATAAAGGGCAGCAAATTTACATCTAAAGAGGTGTGCTCAGCTTTTAAATTCTTCCTTATGTTCTACATATGTTCTGAAGGCCTAGAAAACTTTGGGGTGTTTTTTTTGTTTTTTTTTTTTTTTGCAAAGCTGAGACCCAAACTCAATGCTTCACACATTATAGGCAAGCACTTTACCACTTGATCCCCTAGACTGAAGGACGTTTTCATGAAGACTTCTAAAATAACTGATGTCATTAAGCTTAGCTAAGGGAGAAATGAGTTGCAACTATTCAAAACATTTAGCTCCATGAGTTCACATCCACTCAGCTACTGCAATCTTGGGGCAGTGTAGCAGAAACTTAATCCAAAATGATTTAGGCAGAAACTAATTTTCTAACAATCCTGATCCCTAGAAAAATGTACCATAGTGCAATCATTCCAAACGGGTCATGTGTGTAGTTTCCTTAACACCAAAAGTTCAACTTAACCACCAGGCACTGCTGGACTCACGTGCCACGCCAGAGCCCAGGACCTGCCTCTGTACCAATAATGCAGCATGAGCTCCCTTCTGGAGTCACACATGACCTTAATAAGCTCAAAAGCCCAGCAATAAGCTCCTCATAAGTCTCAGTCTTGGGGCTAACAGGAAAGGAGGGCATTAAGTATCTATTGTTTACTACTCTTAGGCTGGGTGAATGGAAAGATTTTCTTTCTTTTTAGAAATCAAAGTTGTCATTAATAAGCTAAGAGGATTTAAGAAATCACCCAAAGGGGAAGCATTTACATAACGTGCTATAAATATTAAAAACCCAATCCCATCACTTTTCAAGTTGCAAACTCTAAAAATTGAGGTCACACTAAACTAAAACCCCAACCAGGAAAATCTGGTTTCCTTTTCTTACCATCTCTTTTCCCTACCACATCCTCAGAGCCTTGAGAAGCCTTTTATCCCGCAAAATCTTTTCCTGCTCCATTATCTTGCTTTCAGAAACTTCTTCTAATCCCCCCAAAGAGGCATACTTTTTAATGAGGATGAGCCCAGAACCCGAGTGTGACCACTTGAAAGCTAAGGATACACCACGAGAGGAAAGATACCCCACTGTGCAGAATGTAAAATGGAAGATCCAGCCAGTGCCCCAAGCAGCAGCGGCAAGTCAGGAAAGCAGCAAAGTTGTCACAGTCCAACAATGAAGGACAGCCACCTGCTCCTGTAAGGAAGACTTCTTGCCTTACAGATTGCTACAAATATTTATTTACTGTATTCTGTAAAGAACTGTAGGTGTTTTAAACTTATAAAGAAATAGCCAATGAAGGTCTTAGTATCTTATCATATACAGTAATAAAGCTTAGAATATCATAAAGGATATGAAAGCTTAAAAATGTTATTTCATACTAACGGTGGACCAAATGACTGAAATAACCTAAAGAAAGCGATTTCCACAAATAGTAAGTATACTTGACTAGATAATGAAAACCTAAATAATGTATCTGCTTGGCCTCTTGTGTGCATTCTTTCAGCCCAAGTTTTAGAACGAAGCACTGATAAGGGTACTTAATTTCATTGCTGTGGAGTCCAATGGAGCCCACCCTTTGAAATAATTCATTCTTGGCCCACCTTTTCCATCTTCCTCTAACATCTGCCTGTAACCCTTTGCACATTGAGCGTCTCTGCCAATCTCCTTAGTTAGAGTTTTTAAAAGTATAGTTTGAAACCCAAGAATGGGTGAATGAATTCAATTTATTGCTTCACTAGCAATTTAGCTAGACTCAAATGGAAAACATTATCATATACCATGTGGAGAAAAGGGGAAGTACTGTACTGTGAAACTCTGGCACACATATGGTACTGTACTGGAAATATACACAGTGCAATACATCACATATATGTGCTTTGCTCATATATGCAAATGTATACAACACAATTCAGCCTGTGAGAAACAGTCAATGACAACAGCCTACACAACTACCACCCCGAAGTCACCCTGTGACGCAGCACGGTCAGTCCTAGAAGCCACATGCAGTTGCAATCAGTTTTCTAAACAGGACAGCAACTGAGCCTTACATTCAGTCTATTCCCTTTTATCATAGTCTAGGAGCCCCAAAAATGCATTTTTATATTTCATTAGAATTTTAAGCTTCTTAGAATAGACATTGTTTTCTTTTTAAAAGGAGGTGGCACTGTGTGTCACATTCCATGTCTATAAAGTCAAAACTCTATTTAAAAAAATGCAGGCCAGAATCAAGCACAGACAACAGCCTACAACTGCAGCACTGCATTAACTTAATGCACAGGAATGAAATTGAGCACACAGACACCCTGACCTTTCTGTAATCAGCTCTAGTTGGGCGATTCCATTTGCATCTAAATTAGTACCAGCATCCTCCCCATAACGGCAGCTTTATGTGTATCCTGAAAAATACACTTCCCACCTGCTGTGTGTGTGTATGAGGGGGAGAGAGAGATTGATCCAGTCAGACCAGAGCAAACAGATGGATCCTACCTTCTGTCACTAAGGTAGGTGGCAGGCAGTGGAGTCAGGTGACTGTGGCACCCTTGGCAAGTCCAAAGCCACCTTTCCTTGGCTACTGGAGCAAAAACCTAGCTCAAGGCTGGTTCTGATGGGTCACATGTGAGTCCTCGCCCCTGGTAACTCCATCCAGAATGAGGGAACAGAGACCAAGCAGGAGCCCCCCCCCCCCCCACTGAAAGCAGCAGTAAAGCAAAAGCCATGATGGGGCTGGGTCACAGGAAACGGGAATGAAAGGGTCTCTCTAGAGAACTCAGGTTGCAAGCCTGTGTGCTGCTGCCAGAGGACATGCCAATGGAAACCAGGAAGTGTCCCCCAGGGGCAGCAAGGGCAGCAGGTAGACAGGCTCCTCATGGCCACCTCCTTCCCTCCAAGGACAGAGTGCCCAGAAACACATCTGTGTACACAAGGGAAGGCAGAGACATCCCGCTTCTCAGTAAGCAGCCCTCCGTTTTAGCCAAAACTTGGACAGAAAACATCTAATTACTCAAGGTCTAAAAATAATCTGTGGCTGATGATTCAAGCACCCTCCCTCCAGGCCCCCTCATGACTCCCTTCTGATCCTCGACCTCAAGACCACAGACAACACAGATGCCATTGCCACCGGCAGGCTGGGGGTGCATGGAGGTGACATTCAAAGTCAGGAAGTCTATTTTTTCCTAAAGTATTTGAGGAAGGAGGAAATGAAAATGATGGCTACGATGTGGACTTCAGCAATGTATTTTGAGGAAAATATGCCCCTCTTCTCCAGCATTTCTTCAATGCAGCTGTCACACATTAAACAGATAAA